GGGTGGTTGAGGTTCAGTCCTGGTGGGATCCTAGAGGCAGGCTGCCCAAAACAAACAAACAAACAAGGCAAGGAGTTTGGATTTCATAGTGTGTTGGGAAGCCACTAGAGGGCGCTAGGGAAGGGATTTACATATTTAACAACGACCCCCATGGAGAAGGGATTTTGTGCACAGACCATTTCAACACTGGGTCACAGTCACCTTTTCTGTCTCCCTACTGCACATGGAGAGTGGACAGAGTTTGTCTGCCCCCATGTCCCCAGAGCCCAGCACAGAATGGAGCTTAGAGTATGCTTCGGTGTTGATGAGGACATAGGGGGCTGATTTTTGAGGAGGGTGAGATCCCCTGGCTAGGGCGGTAAGGAGTGGCCAGATGGATTTCTTGCCCAGGGGCTGTCCTGCCTGTAAGAATCCAGCAGTGCTCTGTCCTCTAGGCACCCAGGAGCCTTTTGCATTTCAAATATGTATATACTGCTGATGTCACAGTGTGGATGGAGGCTGGGAGACTGCAGGGGAGGCTGGTGTGATGATGCAGGACAGGTGCTGGGTGTGGATTAGTAGAATGGAGGGAATAGGGGAGAAGAAACTAAGGAATGCCGACCGGTGTGGCTCAGTGGTTGAGCATCGAACCCATGAACCAAGAGATCACTGGTTCAATTCCCTGTCAGGGCACATGCCCGGGCTGCGGGCTCCATCCCCAATAGGGGGTGTGCAGGAGGCAGCCAATTGATGATTCTCTCTCATCATTGATCTTTCTATGTCTCTTTCCCTCTCCCTTCCTCTCTGAAATCAATAAAAATATCTTTTAAAAAAAGAAACTAAGAAGGAAGAACTGAGAAGTGGTGAATGGACAGGCTGGGAGGCCAGATCCAGAATGACTAATGGAGGGAGGGAGGTGAGAGACAGTGAGGAGAGGGAGACGGGGGATTCTGGCCAAGGAGAGTCCTCTACATCCCTCCATGGGCCTGTGTGAGGGAGTATGCAGGAGGGTCTGAACACATGTGCCTTTATACCTCAGGGAACTTGCCGAACACAAATACCCAGAAAATTCTTTGCTCCCAGTTGCCCCCACCAGGACTCACACACAAACCTAAGTCTCCATTTTCCCAGCTTAGGACCTGTGACTTCTCCACCCTCACCCCTCACCCACCAGGCTTCCCTGTCCCACAGCCTGGCCAAAGGGTAAAGAGCTTGGGAGGGTGTTCAGATCCAGTTCTGCCACTTGTTTGTTGGCTCTACGACCTTGATTCAGTTAATTGAGCTGTGTGAGCCTCAGTTTGCTCAGCTGAAGTGGTGGGAAGATCTAGTGAAGTCACACTGGTAAAGGACCTAATACACAGTCACTGGGACATATTCCGTCAGCATTCTGTAAATGCGGGTTCGCTTCCTTCTTGCACTGGTGTGAGGTAACCTCCCTTCAGAGGGATTTGCATCGGACAGAGGGGATTTCTGGGAGGTTTGAGGGCCAGTTGTGGGATTCTGGGCACCAGGATTAGGTAATGTTAACTGAAGGTCATTGGCATCAATTTGACACCAACAGAAATCCCCAAATTGGGGTGCAGTGAAAAAGGAAACTTGATTCAGTGCAAACAGCTCAATTATGAAACAGCATTGCCCTGAAAACAGCATGGCTCTTAGGCAGCCCTGGAACCAGGCAGCTCTGGGGCCAGGCCCCTCTCTGGCTGGACCGCTTTGCTCTGTTCCTGCATTTGTCTGCTCTGTGCCAGTCTGCTGTGCCCTGCATAGGTCTGCTCCACTCTGCTCCAGCAAGACTCCCCCTCTTCAACCTTCCTAGAAAGGAAAAGTGTGCTCTCAGAGCCAGAGAGGAGCTGATTTATGTAGATAGAAGTCCTCGCCCCTGGCCCATGATTGGTTCATCCTAATGCAAATGAGGACTCCAAGTCCTCCAAGTTTGATTGGTCCAAAAGGCACTGTCTTGATTGGCCAGAATGCAGCCACTCTGATTGGTGGGTGAAAAAGCTGCTTGAGGAATATAGCTGTGTAGCTCTGATTGGATGGGGAAAGCCCCAGCCCTTTGGTTGACACAGGATTCCAGGAACTCCTTTATAAAGGCTGGCTCCGAGGACAGAACACAGTGCTGGCAGAGCAGTTCTGTGCCGGAGGCAGGCAGCTTAGTGCAGGAACTGCAGTTCGCCTGAGAGACCCCTGTATAGAAATGGCTGCTAGGCTCTGTTTTTAAAATTTGAGCCCAGTTAGCCACCAGAAGCCCATTCTTAGTCGGTATCTTCTTCCTCAAGGTCCACAGTAGCTGGGAACTGTTACAAGAGGGAAATGACACCCATGCACCTTACACAATATGGACCACCATCTCCTCGGCCTACAAATAGGGCCCCTTCCTGTAGCCCCCACTTATGGCTGCTCCTGTAGGAGATAGCACCGGGAACAAAGGGGAAGCGGGAGCAGGATGATTGCCTTTGAGAGAGCAATTAAGTGGCAGAGCTGCTCAGGGAGGGAACCACACCCACCTCCCGAGAATGGAGGACGGCTGGGGCTGCTGTCCACAGAATTCTTGCTCTTGGTTTGAGCCTAAGCTCAGGAGCTCTCTGATGCCACCAGGTTAGGGAGTTTCTAGTTGGTGACTGGAATCCTTGGGCAGCTTTTGTCTCTTCCTTGGGACTGGATCTGAACCGGATGCCAGTGCTGGGTTTTCACCTCTGTGATTCTCAGATCCTTTGAGTTGACTATCAGACTTGTCGTTTTAACTCAAGATTCTACAATGTTGAAGCTTCTGATCCTGGGATTCTGAGTACTTAGGAAGCAGAGAAGAGTAACAGAAGGTTTTTATGATTCTACGAGAGGCCTGGTGTACGACATTCGTGCACTGGTGAAGGGGGAGGGGTCCCTCAGCCTGGCCTGCGCCCTCTCCCAGTCCAGGACCCCTCGGGGGATGTCCACCTGCCACGGAGGTGGGAGAGGTTCCTGCCACTGCCACTGTGCTCGCTAGCTGTGAGCCCGGCTTCTGGCTGAGCAGCACTCCCCCTATGGGAGCGCACTGACCACCAGGGGGCAGCTCCTGTGTTGAGTGTCTGCCCCCGGTGGTCAGTGCACGTCATAGCAACCGGTCATTCCGCCATTCGGTCATTTTGCATATTAGGGTTTTATTACATAGGATAGGATGGCCCTTCTCCAAGCCCCTCAGCCATCCTGGAAGGAGCCTTTCTGAAGAATTTCCACTTCTGGGAGAGCCAAATGTACGTCTTCCACATCCTCCCTCCCAGGAGAGAGGAAATTTCTCTCACAGCCCAAGACTCCCAGGCTTTCCCAAGATCAGTCTTTCTCAGCTGAACAGCAGTGCAGAAATCTATTCCTTTTAGGTAAAATCCTCCCTCC